TATACGTACTTACAAAATTTTTTGTGAAAAAAACATCTGTAAAAAATACAAATAATTACAGGAAAATAAGAAAAGAAATATTACTCACTTGCACTTTAAAGACTGGCCCGATCACGATGTCCCAGAAGATTTCGATCCAATGATCAATTTTTGCCAAATAATGCGCCGCAATATTATCGCTAATAAAGGTTCCGTCGTTGTTCATTGCAGGTATGAACAAATTGTCTACGAACAAAACTGTTTTGCATTTTACGGTTTCAATCATAACGATGTTGTTAATTCATTTCTTCTTAATAATAGAAAATATCATTTTTTACAGTGCAGGGATTGGTAGAACAGGAACATTAATAGCAATAGATATACTTCTGCAACAAATTAGAGATAATAGAAAATTAGATGTATTTGGAACTGTGTATAGATTACGACATCATAGAATAAATATGGTACAAAGAGAAGTAAGTGATTCATAGTTAAATAATACTAAATTAGCAAAAAGAAACATTGTAATCTATATTTCGATTAGATAAGATATTGAATATTAAAATTTAAGAAGTTGCGAAAAATCGATGTTGTTACTAAAAAAGTAATTAATTTAACCCTTTGGCCTACAACCACGAGTGAGACTCGTGGTAAGGAATTTGGTAAGTGAGACTCGTGCTTATTGTTTATGGACCAAATTCCTTACCATGAGTCTCACTCGTGGTTGTAGGCCAAAGGGTTAACATTTCATCGAGTCCATGTTACATATTTGTTTTTTTTTACCAACTAAAAACCATTGTATACATTAGTACTTGTATAAATTCATATAATATAAAAAGAATATTTTTTCAGAGTCAATACGCTTATATATATAATTGTATAAAACAAGTACTCAAGAATCCTTATTTCTTAAAAACTTGTAAGTATCACTTAAAATTCTATGCTTCATATATACTTCTCCAGAAAAACTTATATTATCTTGCATTCTCATAGACAAACCACCACCAGTTGAGCCAATATATGAGAACACTCCTAAGAAAGCCAAAGACACAACAAATTCAGACACAACTCTAGTCAACAATCTTGAAATATGTATGTATTATATATTTAATATACATGTATATGTACTTTATTCCCTGTAGCAGACTAGATATTTTCTTTACTCTTATGGTATTATTAATAGTATAAGAAAGCACGATAGAAATAACACTAATCTATTTTGTACTACAGAATGAGAGTCTCTCCAACTATTTAATACGTGATGAGGTAGGAACAAAATGCTTGGATCGCGTTATCTTTTTCCGCTTTGCATTTCCCTCTTGCTTTACTTATATACATTTCTTACTATTTCGTGTATTTATTTAATATCATTTGAGCTAAACAAAATAACATTCATTGCTTCTCTATGTATGGTTTGAGAATAATTTTGCAGCTGATATATGCTTGCTATGAATTGAACATAATGCAATATGGAACGAATAAATTGCATTTTAATTAGCCAGTGATTATTTTTTGCATTATATTAAGAAAAATTTTATTGCGCTGTTTTTCTAAGCTACAATTATCGAACTACTTTTTTAAGTCAGTTCTATATTGCACAATTGTTTATATCTTTATCTAATTATTAAACTTTCTAATATACACTGCATGATTAAAATTATTCCAGTAAAAAAACATAACTCCATATCTCTGGAATCAATCGATACTCTCTTTTCTCGGTCCACTTCAAACATAAGAAATAGCGGTAAGACTGAATAAAATCTCATGAATTTAAACTGTATTAAGTGCATGCTGTATCAAAAATTAAGTAGCAAGAAAACATGATTTTGTTCAATATTATCTGTTTGAAATGTCATTTATATAATGTAATAGATTTTATCCTATATAATTTTATTTTAAGATCTGAGACAATGCAAATCAATGGATGCCATAAATATAAAAACTCATCACATACCTATAGGTCAGTGAGAGATATCAGTACATGTGTTTTATATAAATATATATATATATATAATTTTATGTATATACATTTATATATATACAGTTTATATATATATTTATATAAAATTTTCATTATAAGAACGATGTTAATTTTCAGAAAAATCCCGTACTCTGAATTGTATTTTTAAACCACTGAGGGATTCGTACAAGCTAATAAATAGAAAAAGTTTAATACAGGAGAGTATTCCATTAATAGCTTATTCAAATTCAACTGATGTACTTGGCGATAGTGTACAACATGTAACAAATAGTAAGTCTTATCTCTTTAATTTATGAAATTTATATTGTACAAATATTTCATTATTTTAAGTGATTTACTAAATATATCTATTTTGCAGCTATGTGAGAGACGACTGAATTGTTTATAATTATTCACGTGTTAAATTAATCATTAATACTTAGATATTAGACCAAAGTATACCCTGTAATTACATGTAAATATAATTATCTTGATAGAATATAAAATAGAAATCTTAAGATAGAATTGATATTGTATACTTTACATACTATTTTTTATAAATAATTGCAATTTTATGTATAAACATTTCCATATACATATGAATAATATACATCAGACGCCAGAATACATTATGTGATACCGAATATGTTTACCAACATTATTGCCTAATATATGCCTTAAGGAAACTAGTCTCATGGATATTGTAAAACATACATTTAAATATAAACCATAAATAAAATAGTAAATAAAGAAATTTTATAAAATTCTTTAAAATATATGTATTATTGACAAAGTATCGTATGTACACTTATTTATATAATTTATGCATTTTGTACTTTATGCTTATTTTATCTTATATTTATTTTTAAAATATGCACAATATAAATTACAACAAAGCTTACAACTATCCATTCAAAATCAAATTCACCTAGTTTCTTTCATGTAATGCACAGTTGGGATTTAGTTGCACTTTTCGGCTTTCAGCTTGGTTCGATGACCGATCGGCATTCAGGCTGTACGCGGGTTGAAGTAAAAATAAAGGGAATCAAGCTGAAAATCGGTCGAAATGTACAACTAAATCCCAGTTCTGATGTAATGTATTGCCTTGAAATAAATATAGCATTATCTATCTTCAAAATACAAAAACGTTCATATATTTTACAAATAAATTAATATCGATATTTAGTAGAATAATCTTTAGGAGAGACAACTAAACCTCGACCTTTCCTTGCACCTCTGTAAACTGTTTCAATAATGTCGATCATTTCCTGTTTGTCCTCCAAAGTCCAATTTATTTTGTTATTGTTTCCAGTACCTAAATCTATCATGATGTGTTTGTTCCTGAAGAAGAACATTACTGTACATGGGTCATACAGTTCATACCTGTAAAAAATATATATTGTATATATATATTTTTTGTATAATTATTGTTAAAATATTATACCAAAATATATTTCAATTATCAGTCTTAATTAATTCGAGTAATAGATTTTATTTATTCTTTGAAGAATTAAATTGTTAATTAATTATTGATGCAATATATGGACTTATAAGGACATAAGTTCCTACTTACATTTTATTAAAATCTGGCACTTTTGTGATATCCACTAAATAAATAACAGCAAAGTTCTTAACTTTCTCTGCGATATTATAGAGTACTTCATCCATTTTCATACACATCGGATCCCAATCGTGTCCAAAGCGAATCACCTAGAAAGAAATTATTTTTAACGCGTGAGTTCTAATTCAAAATAATTCTGTTGTAACTGACTTAGGCCCAGTTCCACAACTCACGGTTGATTCTTAACCGAGGTTCAATTTATTCATTGTCCCTTTCCAATTCTAGAATTTGAAAGAGATGAGAAACAAATTGAATCTCGATTAAGAGTTAACCGTGAGTTGTGAAACTGGACCATAATGTTTATTTACATATAACGAGAGACAAAATGAATGAGTGAAACATGTTAAAATAAACTCACCACGACTCTATCTTCTTCCGACAGAATGGCTTGATCGACTTGATAGCCATTTTCCAAATGCGATAGCATATAAGACATTTTGAGATGTGTGTAATACAATATTTGCTATTACAAAATGATGCAGTTTCGTATATGTTTGTATTAAGGCAATTAAAAATGTTGTTTAAGGTTAGGAAATGGACTGTCTAAAGTCACTAGATTGATAATCTAGTGACTTTAATACTGTCACTACTGTCAGAGAGGAACCTCTCTGCTACTGTTATGACGCCAAGATCACTTTACTTGCACTTTTAGCACTCGGATTCTGCGCTCTTTCGTTTCATGTTCTAGAAATTTCTTTAATTCTTTTTATACTTTTCCTCTTTGTTTTCTTTCTTTCCAAATGTTTAATTATACAATTAACTTATTTCAAGTGCAGGTATAAAGAACAGACGTCCAAAAGTAAAACGTCAATTAATGGAAAAATGAGATAAACTGCTATTACGTGAGGCACGTAATTTATTGCAGAAAATAGAACTGTGTTATACTTTTATACCATGGAATAAGTAAATCAATTATTTATTATTTTTTACATCTGTATGGAAATACAAAGTATGTAAACATCAGAATAAACAATACTTATGTTTTGGAATTAAGCAGATCTATGTATGCTTCCGCGATTAAGTCATCTTTTTTTATGAACAATGCTTGCATGAGGTCGTCAGCAATCTTCTGTCCAGTTATTATATCTTGATCTTCTTTCAACACTACCTGTATTTATTGATATATCGTTCCATATTATATGTTTACTGATCTTTATTGATACGGCTATATAATATAATAAGTAAATTTACAAACCTCTAGTTCTATAAAATTACCCAAACCATCAACTTTGTCAATGTGTATTCGAGTTTGTCCAGCAATGAATAAGAGTCTTGTTTTTTTAACAACTCCTAGTATACCATTAGATTGGGTCAAAATACTTTCGATTGACTCAACAATATCTGAATTTAACGATACTTTGTCATAGGTAGACAACTTTGGTCCAGAAACATCAGGTCTCTTATACAAGATTAACTCTGCAGTACCATCCTATGGGACAAGAAAAAAAATGCTTTGTATTCAGATAATATTATGTAATTATACTTATAATTGAAAAATTTAATAACTGCTCCAACCTTAAACTTTCGTAATTTTAATCTTCCTTCCTTTGTCTTGAAAAAGATATCATGTTGCTTAATTTCAGTCTGAGCTGTGTCGCTCAGCTCTGTAGCTTTTGAAATGGTATGTTCAATATCTCGAATTACGGCTTTGATCTCAATGTTACGCATGATTATCCCTGGAGTCCTGTAAAATTTACAGAAATTCATTGACTTATTTTATTTTTTCAGATTCTCATCATGTTTCTTATCTTGCTCAGATTCTTATCTTACATAGGTCTATTTGTGTTGCTTGAAACCCCCCAAAATTTTTATACTTAAATGAAATAAATATATATTCGAGTGTATGTGTGTGTGTGTGTGGAAGAGAAAGAAAGCAAAGATGCTTAGTGCAAAACGTACAAGCAGTGTAAACAGACCTAGGTATTATCTTACAGATTTCTATACATTTAGCTTATAATTATAAATCATAATCTGATAAAAAATATTCTAGCCGAAAATTATATAGACTTCTCCTTTTATTTGTATATTCATATAATATATTATTTAAAAAATCTCCTTTTCTATTTATTGTATCTAACTTGTTTACTTTTTTATCAAACCAACGTTGAACATTTGACAAATGACCGGTACTTTCAAATGAAAACACATTGGCCATAATAGGGAGTTTTTGCAGTACCGGATTCCTATTTCTAGGATTTCTAGACACGATGAGCGATGAGCGACGATATCCAATGAAAGCTCTGCTTTTTGTCACGTGACGATATAAAGCAGAGCTCTCATTGGATATCGTTCATTGTTCATCGCATCCAGTGTATAATAGGCTTAAGTGTACTGCAGTCGTGGACAGACTGGACACTAGATCAGAGACCAGATTCACCAGGTTGGACGGACAGCAGTAGATGGTGGATGGGTGTCACGGGTGTCACGTTTAGAGCAACGGAAAGAGAAAGTGAGCACTGGTGGACACTGTACAGGTAGCAGCGACGAGGCGTGCCGACGAACGGGCGACGAATGTCGAGATTTCTGAGTCTTCGGAGGAGATGCGCGTCCCAGGACTCCCAGGGGACCGCAGGGCAATGAGTAACGACGAGTCGGCCGGAACGCGGGTCATGAGTAACGCAAAATGAGAAGAACGTTCAACGCCGCGGTGGAGGCCCGAACAACGGACTGCCTCGAAGTCACGAGACGTCTGCACAAGTAAGTCCCTCCACTTTTCTGCGTCGAAATAAAATACTCTACTCTGAAAGTATCATTTTTTATCTTTAATATGATAAAAAAAAGAGATACTTTTATAACGATCTTGGAGAAACAAAAGGATTTCGAGACGTGAACCTAACCCGTCGTTGTCTCAATCGCCATGCTTGTTTCTCACTCGCACGTTTCTCGATGAATTTTGCGCGGTTTGCGATATATCAGGCATGATTGATTCATTCTTAGTTAGAAAAACGTCTGATCAATGCATTTGTACTTTTAACATTGGATATGATAATAGATAACCTGGTAAATGAAAAAATGTACAGTAAACGTGTATCTTTGATAATGACCTTCACACGTGACGCAAAATATGCTGGTTCACTCTTTAATGTGCATTTTATTGTTTGTTTTGTTAAGAAGCGTGACAGAGATCGTTAAGAAATTGGATGAGCAAAAGAATCGTGCCCTGACAGTAAGTGACATATTTCTTTCATCTGGAAAAATTCAACGTATGAAACTTAAGGATTATTGCGAGAGACTAATATTAAAAGACCCTATTGGAAATGTGCATAAAATAGAGGAGCTTCTCTGGAGAAAGGCCTTCTACGATGTTGTATATACAGCCAAGAAGTTACGGAAGGTAATATTTATAATGTGATGTACTAAACATCAAAGCTGACGATAATCTCTTGCTTGAAATCTCATAATAGTGGTTCAGGGTTCTGAATAGCTCCATTTTTACCTTTAAATCATAAAATTTGGAACCTCTAAATTATGAAATTGGGAACTGTGGTTCTACCATTACCTTCCTCTCGCGCTACTCATACGTATCTAACGTATATGGAAGAGATTTTATATATTTGAGATCTTAGAGAGAGAGAGAGAGTAAAATATATAGAAATTAATATGTATACATACACACATTTATAGTTTTTGTATTATTTTGTATATATAGTATATTTTACTTATTTTAAGTATATATGAATATATACAAGTTTTTAAAGTATAGAATAATAAAAAATAATTATTAACAATATTTTAGGGTAACACCTGGAATGATGTGGAAAAAACGCTACTTTCGATCCATTTGGCAGTGGGTGTGGGATATTATCATCATTTGATAATGAGACTGCAAACTGAATATGATCTAGATCTTGTTGGTGTTGTTGATTTTGCTTTCATTCAAAACGAAAGTATTTTATCATACGTAAGAAAATTTTTTAATATTTCACTTAATTTATTCTGGTTAGGAAACAAGTCTTATGTTAAAAGTATATTAATTATGATTTTTTATTGTGTTATTATATACAAATTATGGCAGTTATGTAAGACATAATATGTAATGTAATACAATTCTAAATTTGTGATAGGCAAGAACTAAGACAGGGCAAACTAAAACTCATACCAAGGAGCTCAAACAGTGTGTCATGCGCTTGATCCATCGGAGCTTAGTATGCCTTGGAGACTTGAGTAGGTACAAATTAGAATTAAATTCAAACTGGGATCCAATGATAGCAAACAGGTATTATAAAATGGCTATAGCCATTGATCCAAACATTGGTATGCCTCACAATCAACTTGGTACTATAGCAGGCAATAAAAATTATGGATTAGATGCAGTTTATCATTACATGAGAAGGTTGGTGTCAATAATAATTTAATTTTAATAAATAATTTTATGATAATGTTAATACATTTTCCGATAATAAATTGTATCTTAGTAATTTTATTTTCTTTTTATTAATATGTAAATATTTTTTAATCAATACTGATTATAATTTTAATTATTTCGCAGCGTTTTGTGTCCTGAGCCATTTGAAGGAGCAGAAGGAAATTTAAAGAAAATTGTAATAACTCAGTCGACCTATACAGATGAAAGCAATTCTGTCCATCATTGTGTATCGCGATTATTTTCTTTGTTGCGTTTGTGGGATGAAAATCCAAATTCTGATAAAATAAATCAAGAATGCCAGGTATTTAATTAACATTAATATTTATAGATATTTGAATTTTACATGACAGCATTTTTACAATTTACGATGGTGGTTAATTTTTTTTTCAACAGGATCTCTTAACTGATATAGAGAAGTGTTTAACAATGGATCACATTGAGCCAAATAATACAAATTCTCTTGAAAATATGGATAACATAGAAACATATCTTCAAAATTGTAAAAACAGACCAACGCTTTATTTAACAGATGATATGGTGTTTAAGATCGTGACAATATGTTTAATGTCAATTTCTAGATTAAAAAATAAAGAATCCAACGAAGTACAGGGCGTTGTTGCTATAACTTTAGCGATACTGTCACAATTGTTAGAGTTTATAATAAGAAAACTGCAAGAAATGATCATAGAAATGGCTGTGCCTAATGTAGAAGCAACTAGGAAGGGAAATACTTATTCCAAATTTAAAAATGCACAGGAAAATCAAGCATTATCAGAATCAAGAGACAACAGAAATTACATGAAAGACCAAGTATAATTCCAAGTTTAAAAATGCACAGGAAAATCAAGCATTATCAGAATCAAGAGACAACAGAAATTACATGAAAGAAAAAGACTCTATTTTTAGCAAAGACAATAATTTACTCAATTCAGATGAGACTAACAAAATTAAGTCGTCAGATAACGGATTCACAAATGAATCAGGTCCCAAAAAAACTCGCAACAAATCGAAAAGTCTTCTCAGCAAGCTTCGTAGGCGAAAAAGGAGAACTAGCTCTGATTCAGATGCGAGCGACGTAGATCAATCAACATTAGCGTCGTCAAGTGACGAAATCAACTCTGATGTGTCTGAAACGGAAGACGACGCGTTGAGTGAGGGAAACGATGCATTGTCGGATGATAATACAGATGACGAAGAACCATCTCCAGAAAATAAGAATCAGACTATCGAAAATGTAGCGCAAACAGCGAAAAAAGAGATGAACGGCCATGGCAGCGATATTGTCGACAAAACGGAGGATTGTGATAAGAACGGTATAAATCATTTGGTTAACGGACAACAGCACGCGACCAATCAGCAGACGGGTTCAAAAGCACTGAGTGATAAAGATTCTGTGAGCAGCAGTGCTGTGACCATCACGAATACTGACTCGTCTAGTACCTTCGAGGAAGGTAATAATCGTTTATGCAATGCGGACAACATCTTTTATATGGCACAGTTGAAAAAGCAAAACTTAAAATCGGATGACATTTTGAATATATTGATTGACAAGGAGATCCTTGTGTCTATTAAAGTATGCTGCGATTGGCTTCGAAGTAACCCTGACATTGTGAGGATATGCGCCAAGAGTTCGCGAACATTATTGAAACGTGTTACGATCCTGCTAAATTTAATCAATATGGATATTGAAATTCTTGTGCAGGGAAGCGAAGATTTCTCGATTCTATCCAGTGTGGAGAAACTGAAAGAGTACACGAAAATCGTACCTCTACCAGAGGACATTGATCTTCGGGGGTTAAATTTACTGGAAAATGCTCATAAAGCTCTCAATTGGCAAATACTTCGTAAACACAAAATGAACAAACGGGAAGAAACACTGCTGAGAGTATTGAAGCTAATCGAATTCGGACATCATCTCTGTTCTGTTGAGAATTCAAAAGTACAGTACGATCAGACTCAGCGATTGTTCACGGTGACGGACGAAAACTCCTCAAACACTCCAAAAGTAATAGGTTTAGACGAGAAAAATTTCGGACCGGAACACTCGAAACAGAAACTTATGAAACATATGGGCAAATTGTGGTTGAATGCTGAGGTTCGAGCTTTAGAGAGTCAAGTACAATCTCGATTGATGTCGCCGTATCTTGTTCCGGATCACAAAGCTTTATCCAAGCATACGCCGGCTCTTAAACGCTTAGTCGAAGCAAAAATATTTGTTGTGGTGATTCCCTCGGTTGGTAAGTAAATCTGTGTTCAAAGTGTGTAAGATGAAAGAATTGTATTAAAAAATAAATACAGAAGTTGTTTTATTGTCTATTATTTATATAAAACTATATTTGTAGTTGTATTTATATAAAACTGTATTTATAGTTGTTTCTGCTCTGGACGAGGTGAAACGTGTAAGCGCTCAGGCGAGAGAAGCGACACGATGGCTGGAGGTACAACTGAGGTGTGGCTCAAGATTCTTACGGGCGCAGAGACCACATGAACGTTTGGCGCCGCCGTTAATAACAGAACCAAAACCGAAGGACAAGGAAGCATGGTTATTTTTTCAGATAATAGAGTGTTGTTACTATCTGACTCAGGAAGCGAAGGTTGGTTTTACTGGTGACGGAGAGGTACCTGTTGTGACCCTCCTGACTGGTTGTAAGCCAGATGACAGAAGAGCTTTGGATTTTAGTCCTGATGGATTAGCAGAAAGTGCAGGTAGCTATCGTATTTTTTTTTTGTTCCTAGAATGCTAACATAAAGCGATCAACTAATCAATTGGTTTCATATGTGTGCGTGCGCGTGTGTGTGTGTGTACATGGTATGCAAATAGTAAATTAATTACATAGATTTGTGAAAAAAAAATTTTACATAGCATTTTTAATCGGCGTCTCAACAATTTTGTATATGATATCGCTCTACAATTATATTACAAAATTATAATTTTGAAATAAAAATATAAATTTAAGCCTCATTCTCATAGCAAAACTTAATATTATTTGATGTACGATTTATTTCATAGGTGTTAATCTGGAGCATATAGAATTGTTTTATGTAAAATGGAAATCGTCAATCAAGAGCTACGGTTGAGCGAAATATATCACTTCTGCGTGATTATTTGTCGCCAGTCTCATTCAGAGATGTCTATTGCTCGGGTGCTGCACAACCGGATTTTCAGCCGATTAAAGAGCAAACACGGCAAGAGGGTTGGAAACCCGCATATGAAACGGAAAATCGACAAACTACCGCTATTCGGTGATCGATGCCGATAAAGAATGTCATTTTCCGCAGTAGAATCTTAAGTAATAGAACCATGTTTTTTCCTCTTTCTAATCATTCGTATTGCCATTTATGTTTAAAAAGATTGTATTTTTAAGTAAACGTTTTTAAATAATTAGACTACTATTTTTGTCCAGCCCTATCATCAGTTGGCGAGTCGCAGATGCAAATTAACACATTAGTGAAGAACATAAGACATGACATTAAATGAGTATTACACACACGTTGAAATAATCGAGAACTGTCCAAATTCAGGAAAACACTAATTGAGATATACTAACTTTGTACACGAAAACAAAAATATGTATAATTTTATGTTGTATTCAATTATTCCTATTTATAATTATTTTTGCATCGTTCGTTATTACTTCGTACATCAGAAGCTTGCTGCTACGCTTGTGACTGTTACTAGATATTTCTATAGAACGTTGCAATATATTCTTGCAATATTGCTCTGTAGAGTGATCTTTGCTGCATGGGACATTATGTAAAAATGTAAGATATGTAAGTATTGAACAATGATACGTATACATACAAAATATTACAAAGCATTTTCGAAAATTTACGCACATTTGCAGACACAATAAGGATGTATATCAATTGCACACAAACTAATTGCGCACAAATCAATCACCGTGCTAAAATAAAAATATATAGAAACTCCCTACGCAGAAGTCGCTGTGATTGACAGTAGGCAATTGCAACAGTGCAAATGAACCACCCTCACAATTCCAAGCAGAACAAGACATTATAATATCAAAATGACTTTAAAATGATCAGTAAAAGTCATTTTTTAATCATTTCCGATAATAGACGCTTTCTAATAAGTTGAAATCTCTTATTCCTGTTCCTATTGTGGTTTGTGCTTTTCTTTTGTATGTACTCAACATCCTCGCTTTCTCTTTTTTCAACGCTCAAATATATATTTCTCATTTTAAATTCAAAAATATTTGGGGATTTCAAGCAATGCGAACAGACCTTCTGATTCGATGGAAATGTGCAAGCCAACCTAACTAACTCAATTCTGAGTATTGTGGAATTATTTGAATTTGAAATAGATTCCGATTATAACGACGTGCCATGGTTTGCTCAATGTATTTTTTTTTTTTCAATAATTATATAAAAAAGGAGCTACAAGCCAAGCTGGGTGTTTTCTGGTGACGCACGATGCTTGCTGAATTGCTAGCTGAAATTTTTGCTACCGTATTGAGTCAATACTATTGACTGCGATGCTGTAGGCATTAATCGATTATATTGCTCAATTTCTTACAGCTTGTTACGACGCGAGGTGTGGATTACTCCGCGTTTATCCTTTACAGCCTTCGGCCCCTGGTATATGCGTTTAATGCGTTGGACTTGCACTCGCCTTCCTGCCCTATTTCCTCTTTTTGTCATTCCACGGAAGAGTTTTATTGTGTTACCGACGCGGTTAATTGTCCAGTTGCAATGAGTGAATAATTAAGAGAATAGATAATAAGGGAAGGAAGAATTGAGCAGCTCCTACGAGCGCAGTTAGTCCGATTGGGTTGGAGGGGGGTGAGTTGAGCAGTTTCTACGAGCGCGGTCAGCTCCGAAAAGGAAGATAGACTAAGGCCCAGTTTCACAACTGATGGTTAACTCTTAACCGAGGTTCAATTTATTCATTATCTCTTTTCAATTCTAGAATTGGAAAAAGATGAGAAATAAGTTGAACCTCGGTTAAAAGTTAACCGTGAGTTGTGAAACTGGGCCTAAGCAGCTCCTACGAGCGCAGTTAGCCTAGGGGAAAAGGAAAAGCTGAGCAGCTCCTACAAGCGCGGTCAGCCTAGGAGAAGAGGAAAAGCTGAGCAGCTCCTACAAACGCGGTCAGCTCCGAAGAAGAGGATAGACTAAGCAGCTCCTACGAGTGCAGTTAGCCTAGGGGAAAAGGAAAAGCTGAACAGCTCCTACAAGCGCGGTCAGCCTAGGAGAAGAGGAAAAGCTGAGCAGCTCCTACAAGCGCAGTCAGCCTGAGGGGTGAGGGAAAAGAGGGAAACTTGAACCGAGTTAGACCCATGCGCACTTTTTTCTTCTGAAATATGCGACTTTATAGAGATATTTCTTGATCTATTCGCAGAGCGATCTGATAGAAGACTGACCGCAAACCCGGTTTTCGTCCCATTTATATAAGTGTCAGTCGGTGGCGCTCGCGAGTCGGGAGGAAGGGAGAGCACGAATTTCCCAGAATTGGGTGTACGTGACAAATGTGAGAAAAGGACTTTTCATCTCGAAATATTAGTCGTACCGAACTGAAACTCGGCATGGTTGCCGCGAATTTAATTTAACGTTGAGGAATCGAATTAATTCTGCGTTAATTAATAGAATTTCAAAGTTATTAGCAGATTAAGTTTTAGGTCCTTCTCCGTGGTCCGCGCTGCTCTTTCTCCGACTCTCGATTCACTCGATTGGTCGGCGCTCGCTAACGCGACTAATCTGCGTTTAATTATCTGTTCCGGGCTGGTCACGATGATCAGACAATAGTAAATTAAATAAAGATGCATTAGACATAATGCAAGACTTCCAAATTAACAATATTCTTGGCCAGAGCGGCTGAAGTCCCACTGAGAATACGGAGCGACGAGCCGCGATTGGTGCGCGATAGCTTATTCTTATTTCGAAGGATTATAGGCGTTGAGGCGTTTCGAGCAGATTAATTTTTCGTAAATCTCGTGTAGGACAGTAACGATATGAAGGTCATAACATATAGAAACAATTCCTTAACTCCACGTGGAGTTATCCTGCCTAGAATTTCGTCGCAACACATCGGCACGCGGCACGCGCCTAATAGGTGCTCCAATTGGCTCACGTGGTGTCGGCTTGATAGATAATCGTACGGGGTGATCCCGATTGACCACGGCTCAATTGGACACCACCAATCACAGCGACCGGTGCTTAGGAGCTTTGTAGTCTCAAGCGCTGTGAGTGGCTC